CAGAAATGGCTTGAGGCTGAAAGGAAGGACTCTGTGAGTGAATTCTATAATTAAAATTGTTGTCATGTAAACTATACTCATTTCTTATGGGATATGGACAGTTTGTTTTAATGGAGAACTTCCTTGTTGTGACTGAATATGTCTAGAGACCTTTAGGGACCCAGAGTTAATGTCCCCTAAGAACTCCTGTGTTGAAGAGATGCTGCACTTTAACTCAAGTGGGACTTGGCTAATGAGCTCTTCACAATCTCTTAGTGGAGTAGGTGGCCATACCTTGCCCCTGATGTTTTCTCTTGTTAGAAATGGCACATTGCTCAAGTCTAGATATGCTCAGAGAAGAGAGCTGTTACTTGTTTGGGAGGCTGTGAGCCATGGATAGTGTGTTTGTGTATTCACCCCGTGGGTCAGCTTTAATGGGGTGCTGCCTTGGTAAAATTGTTGAGGTTATCTCCGAATGTTCATATTAGTAAATGTACGTGCTAAGCCTATAATAACTTCAGAAAAAATGGGAACCCGGAAGATTTCTAAACCATTTCCTAAGTCCAGATAGTCTGTCACTGGTCTTCAGAGAGAGGCGTGTGGTGTGTAGTGTTGCCAGGGAATTGTCGGTGCAAACTGTGGATGCCGTCTTCGGGCTCCTGAGTCCGAAGTTGACAAGGACCAGTCTTTGAATTAATATGCTTCCAGGTGACTCTACTGTCTGTGAAAGTTTCACAGTAACTGGTATAATTTATTAGTCACATTCTGCATTTCAAAGTCGTGTTTAAATTTCACTCTTGTATGTAAATGACAGTGTGACACAGTAAGGTTAATGGCCCTATCAAAAGCCCCAGACTAACAGACACTTCTGCCTTTGTTGCATTAATGCAGGGAGGGACTACACAGAAGAACTGCATCTAACTGAATGGGTAACATGAAGTGTGATACCTAGATCTTGGGAAATGAGTTTTCACTTGAAATTCAGAATGGAACTAACTTTTAAAGCCATTTGCATTTTGAAAATGATCTGCTAAAAAACAGTAACTTTCCCAAACTGCTATCACAAGCACAGATGTAGTCCCCACCGTGCCTCAGAGGAACACACTGTAGGGGTGCAGAAATGGCTCTGTAGCTAACAGCACTTACCGTTCTTCCAGATGACCCAGGTTTGATGCCCAGTGCCCACATGATGGCCACAAATGTTTGTAATTCAGTCCCAGGGGATCTGAGGCCTCTGAGAGCACCAGGCATGCTTGTGGTCCACAGACACACCTGCTGCAAAAACACCCATACACACAGTAATATATATATTTAAAAAGAACACCCTTCATATACAGAAGAAAACTTTACAATGTATTAAAGTAAAATGTATCTTCTATCTCAAACTATATCGAAAACTGCCTTTAGGTATACTTGATGTATTATTTGGAAATTTATTGATTCATACAAACTAAGGTGGGGGTATTTTTCTTAAATTAATAAAAACCGTGTTTCTTAAACAAGTCTATTATGTATAAGCTTATGTGTTTTGCTGATTTTAAGCTTATGCTTACATCAATATTGGGATGGAATTTAACTTTCCCAGTCAAAGTAATAAAGGAAATAATAAATATTGTAAAATACATTAAATTAATAGCAGTTATTAGAATAAATAAAACACATATAGTTTTCCCTTACAAACTGTATCATACTACATTTCAATTTAAAAGGAAATTTGTAAGAATAGAGTTCAAGATGTAGTTTACCACAATCCAGTATTTTGTCTTATGACTTTTCCTTCCTTAACAATTCAAAATAATATACAAAAGAGGAAAGTACTATGTTAGAAAATGTAAATTGGGTAAATGTTGGTTGGATTAAGATTGGAGTCCTGGGTGCTGGGATCTGGCTAAGTACGTATACACACTAAATTCCATCACTGAGTAAAATCAGTTCTTTGTGCTATGTAATTGCTTCAGATACCTCCAAATGGAGACATACTTGAAATACCCTGGCATTTGCCTGTCTTTATTTTGTGCTCTTTTTCTATTCCTGTCACTCAGAAGGAGGTATATAACCTATTGCTGAGGAGGTCTAACAGATGTCTGTTAAACTTCGGCAGGTGCTGCTCAGGTGGTACAATCAGTGACATTTTGGGATACTATGTTTCATTTCTACAAGCTGTCACATATTCCAGAGCTGTTAAGTTTCAAGGATCAGATACATTGGATTATATACATAATTTGTGCACCACTTAACATTTGAAAGATTTCAGGTGCCATATAGTCATCATAGGAATTCTAGTTGATGTTCATCAGTGTTCTCCATTAAAAGGTGTGGAAATGGTTAGCCTCCGTGCAGTTTACTGTAAGTTTTTTGTAGTGGTCCCAGCATCTGTAAACACAGGGAAGGGTTTATTATCTCTGCCCTTGACTGTCCCTGAGTAGGCTGCATGTTATTTTACGCTCACCAGAATTCATCTCAAGTGATAGCATTGCTCTCATTTACAGGCAAGAAAACTAGAGGTGAAAAGAAGTTGGCTCAGTGTGAGAACTGGGGGACGAGTAGGTCATCGCCTGCACACTGGGGGCAGGCTGCCTGGATTTTCATCCAGCTTCACCTCTTTTTTTTTTTTTTTTTTTTTTTTTTGGTTTTTCGAGACAGGGTTTCTCTGTGTAGCTTTGCGCCTTTCCTGGAACTCGCTTTGGAGACCAGGCTGGCCTCGAACTCACAGAGATCCACCTGGCTCTGCCTCCCGAGTGCTGGGATTAAAGGCGTGCGCCACCACCGCCCGGCTCAGCTTCACCTCTTAAAGTTTGGCAACTCGTACCAAGTTTCTTCATCTCCTTATGTCTTAGTTTCATATCATATCAAACAAACAATACCACTCGCATAAGGTTGTTATGGAAATTAAATGGGACATAATAGTTTGGAAGTGCTAGGCATAGATTATAGCCCCAAGATCATACATTATTATTCAGTAAATAGAGTAATTTGAATGGTAGGAAGCAATTGCTGTCTTCCGTTGATTTCTTAAATTAAGCAACATGAACACAAGAAGAAAGAGTATTAATATAGAGTATTAATATAGCATTTTTTTTTTTTTTTGGTTTTTCGAGACAGGGTTTCTCTGTGTAGCTTTGCGCCTTTCCTGGAACTCGCTTTGGAGACCAGGCTGGCCTCGAACTCACAGAGATCCGCCTGGCTCTGCCTCCCGAGTGCTGGGATTAAAGGCGTAATATAGCATTTTAAAAAGGGAGAGATAATAGTTATGAGCCTGAAACTTCCAGGGATACATCATAAAAGGTTAAAATGACTTAGTCTGGACTGAGAATTGTAGGCATAAAGGATGTTTTCTAAAATGTCACAGAGGTGTCTTGTGGGGACCTTGGGAAGTGAGTGTGCACACTGTTTCTGGACTTGCGTTTGTGTAGTTGTACTTTAGGCCTTCACTAGGGGCTAAACAACAGAAGTATCAGTCTGGTCTGTTTCATCAAATATTGTGCTTCCAACATTTAAAACTCCAAGAGTTACTACGCCTTTCGAAAAGCTTGCTCTTATTTTTATCATCGCAACACTTTCTGTGATGCTTTGTGAACCTATTCTGACTCTTGACTCTGACGTTCTCCTCTAGTTCTTTATTTCTGTAGCTTGTACATCATCCTTAAAGACTGGCCAAGTCTAATTTCCTTAGTTACTAACCTCAATACAAGCCCATTAACAAGTGGTACATGACTGAGACAAATATCTCTAGTTCCTCAGTCACTATTCTGGTGATTCAGAATGTATGTAAATGCTGAGCTGTTATTTTCTCCTGTCGGTGACTCTAGTTGGTACTGACATGACTTCTGTTGATTAAAAAAATTAATGTGAAGAGATTCCAGTTGATAATCAAGGTCTTTTTGTCTAACACTATATCTGTCCTGGTTTAGACTGCTACTGCTTATTTTGTAAGAATGTGGGGGTTTGGGTTTGGGTTTGTTCCCATCTTTTGACAGTGGGTCTTACTTGGTAAAATCCTACACTGTTCTTTCTGTGGAAGCACTTGGCGCAGTAGCCGAGTCTTTATTTAACATTGGCGTTGTGCGCAGGCCGTGCTTTCCCGTAAAGTTCCCCATGAAGTAGGCAGCAGCAGCAGCTGCTGCAAAGACCAGAAACGGCCATTCCCTGTCTGCGATTCAGTGAGAAGCACTGAAGCATTTCCTTTCAGTCTTGATTAACAGCTAGATCAATTTAACTTACACTATTTTTTGGCCTGAGGAAGTCTGTTCTGTGGCCTTTTGAAATTTTTACACACAGAGGCCACGCCCTGGCCTCTTCTCTCACAGCGATATCTGGCAGCTTCTGCAAAAGCAGGTGGGAGCTTGGCATGAGATCCTGGTGTGACACACGCCTCACTGATGATTTACCAGAGAGTGTAAATGTGAGAATGGTTCGTGTGATGCTCTGCTCACTAAGAAAGCTTTCCCCGAGCCAGGGGAACATAAAAATACAATAAAATAATTCTTGAGGACTGTGAGTCAGTATTTAAATATCACAGGTTAGAAAGGGATCAGGAAAGATAAGAATTTGAGGCATTTAGGAGATTATTCTTTCTAATAATGCAATCCTTCAGCTCTTGTAAACACTAATTAGAGAGACTGTTTATTGAGCTGTTGGTCCGCCGTGTCAGGAACTGCATGTACATTCTCATTGCTCTTCACCGTAGCTTTGCAGGATGGACTGTTTTAAACTGCCCTTTCACAGTCTAGTTAAAGCAGGCTCAGGAGCTGAGATGTTTGACAAACGGCAGAACTGAGATTTGCAGCTGACTCGGCCAGATACATGAGCCACGTATTTTCAAATGAAACTTGTTAGTGCCTGATGAAATGCTGAGGTGAAGGGGGGCCATAATGATTCTGTACAGTTGTGTTGCCTCTCACTACCCACGCTGCACACAGTGTTTCAGACCGTCCCTTTGATGGTTTTTATTCTAGTCTTTTAGTGTTGGTTGTTTAAATATGTACCTTTTGTACCATTACTTCTTCCTCTTTCTCCCATAGTTGCATTAAAATCCTCCCCTGCTGACAGGAATGGAGGCCAAGATCAGTGTCGAGCACAATTCAGAGATGGGCTGGACTTGCCGGAAGGAGAGTTCTTATTACAGGTAATCCTAGTGATGCAGTTCCTCCCAGTAGTGCTCACAGGTGGGAGGTTCACTGGACCTGATTCCTCGTCGTTGAAGACTCACTGTCCACTTTCATGTGAATTGCACAGTGGTATTCTCCAGTACCTGGCAGGTGGGATTATGAGAAGTGGATTGATCAGGTCTGAGCACCCTGGGACTATGGGGACTGGATTGATCAGGTCTAGTCATCCTCCCTGTTGCTTGATGGATCTGTGTGCCCTTTCAAGAATGTTGCCCATGTAGAGAATTAAAGCATGTGTTCAATATAAAAACATTGTTCTTAATCTGAATTTTATTTTTAATATGCAATATTGTAACATATTTCACTTTAGCAGTGATGTGAACATGTTACAGATTTCCCCAACAACTATAGGCCCTCATTTTGTGCTTTAGAATTTGGGAGTTTCTAATAGGTTTGCTGTGGATACATTCTTAAAAGCTTGAATTGTATCTTCTTAGAGGGTACACTGTGCTTGGTTCTTACAGTGTGAGCAGATACTCAGTGATTTTGTGGAAATAAAATGGAAGGCTTGAGTGTGCTGTGATAGTGCTGGAGCCGTTCCCCGACTGTGCTCAGCCCCAGCCTATTGGTGAAATTATAAAGGCCACTCCACGTAGTTAAAAGGGAGGTTTATTTAGTGGCGTAACTCACAAGTGAAGGGATAGGTAGGTTGCAGGGTCTGGGAAAGATGTAGTGCAGTCCTGCTGTGTTCCCTGGAGAACTCTGCTCGGTCTACCTCCAGCATCCAGGGTCCAGGAACCAAAAGAGCTGGCACATCCGGATCTTGGGTCTTCAGGGCTCCTGTCTTGGCCCCGCCTTGTAGGCGTGACAGTTACCGAAGCCTCAATGGGGGTTGGAACTTCAGATCAAAGCTGGAATGGCTACCCACTACACCAGCCCATGAACTGAGCCAGCCTGGTGGAGGTTCTGCTAACTTTGTTGCTGGAATGGGGCTGTGGCAGTTCTTTTCTGTTGCTGTAATGAGACACCATGACTAAAAGTGACCTACAGAGGGAACAGCTTACTTGGGCTCCCAGAACCAGCAGGCTAGAGTCCATCAGGGTGGGGAAGAATGGCAGGAAGCAACGGGCAGGTCTGCGGGTGTAGCTAGAGCTAATAGAAAGAAGGAGCATATATAAGATAATGCACTGAAACACGAAAATATTCACAATTAGATTCGATGTTAATAAATTTATGTGTTTTATAGCTGAGAATTATATTGATTTTTTGGATGCTACATTTTATATGCATTGTGCTTGCCAATAAAAGTTTTAATATCTTTAAAATTCTTTGAAAGCATCTCAATTTCAGTCAGTGCCTGAGGCGTTTTGGCTGGAAATCATGCTGTCTTCTGCTTAGATTTCTCCACATCAGGTCCAATAAGCCGTTTTTCCTGCTGTCCTCCCTAAAAAAGAAAGGCATGTGATTATAGTGAATGTTTTCTGTGCAGTTTATTTTATCAAAAATTAGACACAGTGTATTTAAAAGAAGAAATCTGGAGTGTAAGGAAAATGGAAGACCTGATATCTTATTCATGTACCTGGTTGGACTTTAAATTTAGCTGTAATTTTCCCTCAGCCCAGTGGAAGGGATGGGTAGGTTTGCCCCGGTCCGTATGCCGTGAGCCTGTGTTTGGGGAGTGTAAGAATCCTACTCATTTTGAGGAGAAGGTGTTCATAGATAAAGAGACAGCTTCTACCTGACAGTGGGTATTTCTGAGTGACCGTTCTATACTTCCTGTCCTGCAGGCGCTGAATGGCTTTGTCCTGGTTGTCACCGCAGACGCCTTGGTCTTCTATGCTTCCTCGACTATCCAAGACTACCTGGGCTTTCAGCAAGTAAATACATTTCTCTTATACCATTTAAAATGATTACTTATAGAAAGCGAACTTTCTACTGTTTTATCTGTTTTCCAATGTAAGATCAAAGTTGGCCATTTCTACACAGAAAGTCTTGACTAAAGTGTGTGCTATAAGAGTTGAAAATATATTTTAGGCTATTGCATTTTTTCCAATGTTGATAATGTGTAACACTGATGTTTTGTTTCATGGTTATTGTGTTTCTTTTGCATCCATCAATAATCATATATATATGAAACTTTCAGGACCCTGCCAATGTATCTCTGTGCTGTATAGTACCTGCTATACTAGGTTCAACTGTTAGCCTGGCAGGAGCGGCCAGGGGGGAAACTTTAAGGTCAGGGTTCGAAGCAGACAGAACATTTGCCATTAGATGGCATGAGCTACAGAGTAAAACGGTTACGAAATTATTGAGATGCTATGAGGAGGCACATGTAAAATGCTGTGGTGTATACTTTTAGTTCTGATGCATCTGGATTATGAGTATTGCCTTGAAAGAAGGGTATTGAGAGTGAGTGAAAGCATGTAGAGTGCACAGATGGTTGGTGAGGGAGCATAAGGGAAGAGAGAAGTGTGTTAGCAGTAGACAAGAAGTTCGTGAAGGAGGTGAGTGCTTCCTATGCATAGGCAGTCTTGAATGGATGGTGTGTGTGGTGGCCCCCAAGAGAAAAGTAACAAGGCAGTGTGTTAATAGAATTATGAAACGTTGGTGTATTTGAGGGACGGGAACATCCGATATGATCTGAGAACAGGCCAGAAGTACACTTGAATGCTTGCTGTTCTTATGTATCTGGTTCTCACATTGTAATGTCATAAGCATCACCTGAAACACTCGATAAGATCTTTGGGCTCCATTCCCAGATACTCCATTTCAGTAGGTCATAGTGTGGCCCATGAGTTTGCATTTCTGCGGATCTCACAAGGCTGCTGGCCTGCACACCCCAGACTGTTTCACACACATGTGTAGACTCGAGGTGGGTGCTTAGCTTTGTCCCAGATCACCCTGGCAACTGTGTAATGGCTGCAGAGAGATGACTGTAAATTTAGTTCCCAGAGACTTAAGGGAAGACGATTACAGTAATGGAGTTTGGCCACTGTCACAAGCCTGAATCTTAGTTTTCTTCATTTTAAACACTGTACTGTCTGTAGAAAGCCTGTTTGAAACATAGTGAATCACTTAAGGTTTTAATGAAGATACTATGATTTCTATCAGTTAAAAAAATCTCAAATAAAAGAAATTCAGGTGTGGTGACGCCTTTAAACCCCAGTACTAGGAGGCAGAGGCATGCAGATCTCTGTGAATTTGAGGACAACCTGCTCCACATAGTGAGTGCCAGGACAGCCAGGCTGTATAACGAGACTCTGTCTCAACCACACAAAAACATGCAAATGAAAATAAACTAAGAAATGAGCTATGTTCCAACTTATTTTTCTCATATATATGCATACCTTGTATATTCTCTTTCTGATGTGGGATTAAGAGTCCAGTCTTAAAAATTAAAAGTTGTGACATATTAGTGAGAAATAATTCAGGCAATACAGTGGATAGGAATCGAACTTCCTCTTTCAGAGCTTAGTATGCAATCAAGTAAAATGATAATGTTGGGTATTATTACAAATAAAGATGTTACCTGGAACTTTTCTGCATGTATATGTTTGTGTAGGATGGATGGAAAATGCATTAGATGCTGTGAGTTTCAGTGGGAAAGATAAAAGAAAGATTCTACCAAAGACCAAGCATTCAGCACTGAAGTCAAGGCTGAGAGACATCAGGGGTGAGGGGTGAGGGGTGAGAGGGGCAGGTGCCATAGAGGCTGTGTCTCTTGGTGCGGAGTCTATGGAGTCTACTTGGAAAGAAAGTTACTATAAAGAAAACACACATGAAACTGCCAAGGAGATACTAATGAAATGCTGTTAAGATTAGAGAAGACAGAATGAGATGCTAAAAGAGGGATTCGTGGGTGACATAGGATCTGGAGCAGAGGTTCTCAACCTTCCTAATGCTGTGATCCTTTAATACAATTCCTCATGTAGTGGTGACCCCCAACCATAAAATTATCTTGTTGCTGCTTCATAACTGTAATTTTGCTGCTATTATGAATTGTAATGTAGATATCTGATGTGTGACCTCAAAGGTGTCACAACCTACAGGTTGAGAACCACTGGGCTATAATGTCATCAGCTGGCATGAAATGGACAAGGAATGTGAGCAGATCTTAAACTGGTACATTTGAAGAACAGAAAATGCCTTATGAACCAGAGTATTCATGTCAGCAAGTGATGGCAGATAATTTGTTGAATCAGTTACAGGGCTGGTCTGTAAGTTTTCCTATTGTGAATGACTTGGGGGCTCTGCAAACCATCATTTGTATTCAGTTCATCATCACTAACAGGTGCCTACTGATCTAGACATTTTGAAACTGTTTACTAAAGCTTACCATGGTTTAATCAATACTTTATTTTCTCATGCTCCTTTTATTTAGTCTGATGTTATACATCAGAGCGTCTATGAGCTTATCCATACAGAAGACCGAGCTGAATTCCAGCGCCAGCTTCACTGGCCTCTAAACCCTGCACAGTGCCCAGACTCTGCACAAGGAGTGGATGGTAAGAACGTTTACCAGAAGGCCGTGTTGATGCTTTCTGAATATCTGTGAAGGGAGGCTGAGAAGGTGTATTGATGCTTTCTGAATATCTGTGAAGGGAGGCTGAGAAGGTGTATTGATGCTTTCTGAATATCTGTGAAGGGAGGCTGAGAAGGTGTATTGATGCTTTCTGAATATCTGAAGGGAGGCTGAGAAGGTGTAGGGCGTGAAGCTCCATGCTGAAGAAAGGGAACTAGTCAGGTGGTGGGAGCATGTAGCCATAGATCAGAGCTGGACTGCAAGAGGATCTGGAACTAAGGAAAATTTAGCAGATGAGAGAGCCATGAAGAATGTCAAAAATCAGAGGGTTGGCACTGCCAGCAATGTGTGTGTCTGTGCCCACTTGTGTGTACATGTGTGGAAGTCAAAGGTCACCGACGTTGGGTGTCATTCTTTGTACGCCCTCCATCTTATTTTTCTTAAACAAGATCCTTCATTGGCCTGGAGATCACCCAGAAGTCCAGGCTGATGGAGCCACAGGGACCCTACTGTCTGCACCTCCCCATCACTGAGATTACAAGCATGTGCCCCTGTGCTTGGCTTTTCTTGACATGGGTTCTAGGGATCAAACTCAGTGTCATGCTTGCATTGTAAGCCCTTTACCAATTGAGCTATGACCCGAGCCCAAAGCAGTGCTATGTTTTATAAAACCAACTGGGGTACCACGTGAAAGATGGAGGAATATACAGGGTTGCAGCTGAAGAGTGCAAATCATCCTTACCAAAATGTATCCATAAAAACATACACCAGCCTGTGCAAAAATCGAAGGGTTTTCCTGACGTCAGCGTTGTTTTAAGATATCTGTGCAGCTGGGAGGAAAAGAGAACCACTGTTAGAAACACAGACATAGTTGGCAGCAGCAGCTCAGAAATACAAATAAGAAATATGTCAAGTTCTCCAGCATGGATATGTCAATAAGTTTGGGCTTTTGAATTAGTTTTGAAATGGTATTTTGAATTCCAAATATAGACTCCAGTTTAAAATTTGTCACAGTTTCAACTATAGAAAATCTTAGTTTTACAGCACATGTAAGGTTGACTGCTGTTTCGTTTCTACAGAAGCTCATGGCCTCCCACAACCACCGGCAGTCTATTTCAAGGCAGACCAGCTTCCTCCAGAGAACGTTTCTTTCATGGAGAGGTGCTTCGTGTGCCGCCTGAGGTGTCTCCTGGATAATTCATCTGGTTTTCTGGTGAGGTGCAAAATCTTAAAACACCGGCTTTTGAAATGACTTAGTATGATGAAAGAAAGCAACCGTGAAAAATTAACATTTCAGGGCCAGTAAAAAGGCTCAGTTGGTAAAATGTTTGCTTTGCAAGAATGGGGACCTGATTTGGACCCCAAGAACCCGTGTAAAAGCCTGGTGTGGTGATCTGCACCTGTAATTCAGTAGATGAAAGGAGAAAACTGGAGCATCCTGGAAGATTATACCCAAACACCAGAAACACATATGTATTCATCCACATGCACACACACACACACATAGACACGCACCACAAACCCACACCACATATGCATACACACACACAAATTAGTATTTTGGGTTTTGCGGGGGGGGTGGGGGGGGTGGCGTCTTTTGTAGCTCATAAAACCCTATCATTTAAGATGAAGTTGTAGAAATTGAGTAGCATAGCATGGAACTTGTACTTTGAGTGTTTTGAAACATTTTTTAAGTCTAAGAATTAGCTAGCCACTCTTCAATAGAATGCCTAGCATTTGGGGGTTGTATGCGATCCACACAGGAAATGCATAGATGTATCTGTGTCTGGGATAAGTGCAAATAAAATGCTCGTATTTGTGGTTCGGAGTTACCATCTCATAGGAACGCTGCTACAAGAGGTAGCCCTGGGGAGCCACCTGGCAGGGTCCAGACAGCAGCACCATCTCCAGCCATAGGCCGAGAGGGGTGACATCTTAAGTTAAGCCTCACGAATCGGTGCTTTTTGCTAGTGTATTATGCTTTAGAATTGTTTTGCTGACCTGGAGTTAGAGCTGTGTACTGAGGTGACTAAGATCGGTTAGCGGGGTTAGATGAGATTTCTGTGTGCGAAGGGTTTCTTCTACCATGTGCTGTATCAGAAGTGTGTTCGAGAGTCTCACGGGCTCCTGGGCCAGCTAAGTTTATCACACCCGTGTTGAAATTCTCTTTGGCCTGTCTTCTAAAATCATGCTTTATCTTTGATCTCTGCATTTATACAGTTTTATAAGGTTCATTCTACTGTTTTAATAAAATTGTATTTTTTTCTCAGGAAAGATTATGGCGAGCTATGGCATATAGATCATGAAAGTCTGAAAATTACTATGCACCATGTGACTTGATCACACTCTTCCCTTTAAGATACATGTTGAGTGCCTGGTGTGCAGAGAGCCGTGGAGGGGAAACCGGTCAGGCAGTCTCAGGCACCAAGAGGACAGGGCTCTCCTGTCATGACGCTGGGGCAGGGGGTCTTCACTCAGCAGCCCTCACGTCCCCACTCTGCCCTTGGAATTCTCATGGGCTTTCTGTAGAGAGCAGAGTGGAAAGGGGTAGCAGTTCTAAGCCTTGGGAACCGCCCTACAGTACCAAGAACCCCAGAAGAGCCAGAATGGAAACTTTGAAAATGAAACTGTTCTACACTGTTAATTTTCATGACTCTTTAAAGGCGATGAATTTCCAAGGGAGGCTAAAGTATCTCCATGGACAGAACAAGAAAGGGAAGGATGGCGCCTTACTTCCCCCACAGCTGGCTTTGTTCGCGATAGCGACCCCGCTTCAGCCACCGTCCATACTGGAGATTCGAACCAAAAACTTCATCTTCAGGACCAAACACAAACTGGACTTCACACCTATTGGTTGTGATGCCAAGTAAGGGAAATCTTTTCACTCTTATTTCATGAAATGTGTACTTTATTTTAGCAGTTCTCCGATTGTGTGGAACGTTTGGCTTAGATTCTAAGGTTATTTACTACTATGTTAGCAATTACTCGTTTTCTTTCAGTATAGCCTACTAAAATAAGGTAATTTCATCAATCTGACAATAATCTTACTATTTTGTATTATTTATCATAATGTAAGACTTAGTCTTAGGACATTGGTTTATCTTACATTTTGTAAAAATATTGTTTAATTTTTAGATTTAGAAATGAAATCACTATCTATAGTTAGTTAGTTAACTAACAGGAATTTATATCAAAGCATTTTAATTTTTCTCCTTTCCTGTGGGGAATGCAGTGCAGTGACTTAGCAGACCCTCTCTGAACTCAGTCTGAGCACCCATGGTTTTAGTTTTAGAATGTGTTTTACTTTTATAGTTAACGCTGCTGGATTCATTTTCGACCATCCTAATTTTAATGGCCTTATTCAAAAGAAGAAAATAGGCTAACAATGAAAATTCATAGCTAGAAGTAAGAAAATAAATTAAAATTAAAAGGGATGTTTTCTATGTACTAACGTGAAAACTTCGAATGTCAGCTACACTGTTTGTAGAAATAATGTATAGCTGGTGACTGTGTCGTGATTCTGTTACAATGTGATGCTTTTTTAAACAGAGGACAGCTTGTTCTGGGCTACACAGAGGTAGAGCTGTGCACAAAAGGCTCAGGATACCAGTTTATTCATGCTGCTGACATGCTTTACTGCGCAGAATCCCACATCCGAAGTGAGTTGGAGTTCTTACGACCTGCCTGGCAAATGGCACATGGACTAGAACATGTTAAACTTTTTAAAACATTTACTCATTCTTGTGTGTGTGTGTGTGTGTGTGTGTGTGTGTGTGTGTGTGTGTGTGTGTGTGCATGAGGTGGTCAGGGACAACTTGTAGGAGTCAGTTGTCTTCCACTTGGTGGATCCCTAGGATCAACCTCCAATAGTCAGGCTTGGTGGCAAGCACCTTTACCTGCTGAGGCATCTCCCCAGCCCTGTGATTCATTAACCAGCTTTCCTTTTTATTTCCTAAATCCTCTCAGCTGCCCTGCAGTAACATAGTGGTCTAATGAGTATGAAAATAACTATTTTTGCCATTGGTTTTGCTCAGAGGATCTTTAATGGCATCTTTAACTCATACATGTATGTTAATATAAAGTCAGGACATACTAAAAACATTGTTCATTTAACATGAAAAGTCCTCATGTTTACTTTTCTCCCAAGCTAAGCTCTTCTCATGTGTTACCAAAACTGTCTGGCCTACTCTTGATATTACTCTTTATATTTTTACATGCTAACCTTCATCTAAAATGGGAAAGCACCAACTCTGAAGAAATGTTTCCTTGCCTTTCACTGTGTTTACTGTGTTTAAAAGTTTTTGAGATATTATTATAATTGCTGGTTAATGAAATATGTCAAAATGGCTTCTTAAAATTTTTGTTTTATGTTTTAATTGTGTATGTGTGTTTGTCTCTGTGGGAGTATGTACACATGGATGTAGATGAACTTAGATGCTGTAAGAGGGCTTCCATTCCCCTGGGGCTGGGTTATAGGAGGTTGTGAGCCACCAGTGTTGCTGCTGGGGACCAAACTAAGTCCTCTGCAGGAACAGCAAGTGCCCTTAACCAGTGCGCCATCTCTTCAGCTCTGCAGAGGGGCTCTGTTGCAGGAATTTTCTATATTGATATGGGGTGTAACCTTGTTTTAAATGTTCATTTTTAGTGATTAAGACTGGAGAAAGTGGCATGACAGTTTTCAGGCTTCTGGCAAAGCACAGTCGATGGAGGTGGGTCCAGTCCAATGCACGCTTGATTTATAGAAATGGAAGACCAGATTACATCATCGCAACTCAGAGACCGCTAACGTAAGCTTGCTGAGGGCATGTCCTGGTTTTGTGTTTTCATAACTCTCCTTCCATGTAAAATTAAAAACAATCTTAAGGCAGTTGAACCTGTAACTAAAGTTAAAAAGTTAAAAGAATGTATCCAGAGAGAACAGGGCAAAGGTGAGAAATGCTGAAAAGCAAAAGCGACAAGCTTCATTGAGCAGCCAAGCAGATAAAGCCAAAGAATCCGACTCCTCTTCCAATTTAAGGGGAGATGACAAGTCCAAGACATCTTTACAGTAAAAAAAAAAACTTACAAACACTATGGTGTGTACCCAGTGGTCTGGAAGATTCTCACGTCTTCCAGAAAGGAGTCTTTTGTGAAATGTTTGCATTGTGAGGGCTCTATCCATGAGAATTGCTTCTCTGGGTGCAGCTGAAGTAGGAATCCTGACCGATCTTTTCCTTTTGAATATCAAATTGACCAATAGAATTTATTAAAGAGACAAACTCTTGAAGACCTGTCTAGGCCCACTGCTCTGCCTTGTCAGAGTGGCCTTTCTTCTTGTTTCTTGAGTTGCTAGTCCCGTCCCTCTGTCTGTCTCTGTTATCACATCACCTGAATGTCCTGTCTTTATTAGCAGTTTTGATTTGTGAATGCATGTCTTTATTTTGTTTTTGTATAGATGTTATTCTCATTCATGATTGTTGACTCTTCATTACACTTTGTTTCCAAATGCACTTTAGAATTCATTGTAAATTCCCAACAACAATGAAACTGATGGGATTTTGATGACATAGTTCTTTGGGAGAAGAATTAACATCTGTCCAGAACTAAGTCATCAACCCATGGCCATAGTGAATGTTTGTGTTCTCCATAAGAGTACATGGACGTGTGCTTCACAGATCCATTGACTGAGAGAGCAAGCAGACCTCGGCCTTCGTTAGTCTCTTCCAGGCTCAAGCATTTCGTTTATTGATTTTACTATTGTCCATTTGTCTTCTATTTCATTTATGTCTCCTAGTTATTACTTTGTTTACAATTTTTCAGTATTTATATATTTTTCCTGTATAGTTTTAGCTATATTCGCATAACAGTAGTCATAAGAATTCGTTTCAAAATAAAATCCATGTTTTGTGTTGTCAGGCTCTGCTCCAGTACGTTTTAATTATTTTTTTTCTCCTTTTAAAAATACCTTGCTTAACGCATGTCTGATGCAGTGTTAATGTATGCGGACGTTCTTGCCCACCCTGTTAGGGAGGAAGAAGGAAGAGAGTACTTACAGAAGCGAGGGACGATGATGCCATTCACGTTTGCTACCGGGGAGGCTGTACTGTACGAGATCTCCAGCCCCTTCCCGCCCATGATGGAGTCCTTACCAACCCAGACCAAAAGCAGCACGAGTGGGAAGGACTGGGCTCCCCAGTCAACCCCAAGTAAGGATTCTCTCCACCCCAGTTCCCTGATGAATGCCATGATCCCACAGGATGAGTCCGTCTATCTCTGCCCTGCTTCAGGTCCTGCACCGTTAGATGGCCATTTTCTCACAGACTCTGCGAGTGAATGCAGTGGCTGGCAAGACAGCATTGCACCGATAGGGAGTGAGGCTGTGTGGAAACAGGAGCAGCTTGGGCATGCTCAGGACATGAACCTTGCACTCTCTGGAGGCCCCCCGGGGTTCTTTCCAGACAATAAAAATAACGACTTGTACAGCATCATGAGAAACCTAGGGATTGATTTTGATGATATCAGACGCATGCAGAGTGAGGAGTTCTTCAGGACTGACCTGCCTGGTGAGGTTGACTTCAGAGACATCGACATAACAGACGAAATCCTGACATATGTGCAAGATTCTCTAAACAAGTCGACCTTGCTGAATTCAGCCAGCCAGCAACAGCCCGTGACTCAGCACCTAAGCTGTATGCTGCAGGAATGCCTGCATTTAGAACAGCAGCAGCAGCTACAGCAGCACCAAACTCAGGCAGTGGAACCCCAGCACCAGCTGTGTCCTCAGATGGAGCCCCAGCAACAGCTGTGTCCTCAGATGGAACCCCAGCATCAGCTGTGTCCTCAGATGGAACCCCAGCATCAACTGTGTCCTCAGATGGAGCCCCAGCATCAGCTGGGTCAGATGGAGCCCCAGCAACAGCTGTGTCCTCAGATGGAGCCCCAGCATCAGCTGGGTCAGATGGAGCCCCAGCAACAGCTGTGTCCTCAGATGAAGCCCCAGCATCAGCTGGCACAGATGAAACCCCAGCAACAGCTGTGTCCTCAGATGGAGCCCCAGCATCACTTGCCTCAGATGGAACCCCAGCAAGAGCTGGGTCAGAAAATGAAGCATATGCAAGTCAATGACATGTTTGCAAGTTGGAACCCCACCCCTCCTGTGCCTTTCAACTGTCCTCAGCAGGAACTGAAACATTACAATGCCTTTTCAGACTTACAGGGGACTGTTCAGGAGTTCCCCTACAAATCTGAGGTGGACAGCATGCCTTACACACAGAACTTTGCTCCCTGTAATCAGTCTGTGCTACCACAACACTCTAAGTGTGCACAGTTGGACTTTCCTGGAAAGGGTTTTGAGCAGCCCCTGCACCCCACTACTTCTAATTTAGAAGATTTTGTCACTTGTTTACAAGTTCCTGAAAACCAAAGACATGGGATGAATGCACAGTCAGCCGTGGTCCCTCCTCAGGCCTACTATGCTGGGGCCATGTCCATGTACCAGTGTCAGCCAGGGCCTCAGCCCACCCCTGTGGACCAGATGCAGTACAACCCTGCAATTCCAGCCTCCCAGGCTTTTCCAAACAAGGTAAGGGCTTTTAGAGCTGAATAGATCTGTCAGGCCTAAGCATCTCCATGTTGTCTGTTATGTTGAAACATATTTTCAGAGCCTTTTAAATAGCAAGTGACTTCAGAACTGCATTTAGTATATTTATGTTCACATGACTAACTTCATTATAATTTACTTAAAATAGCACAAATAAATTATTTAAATAATTTTCTTAAAAATAGGTTGATGTTAACATAATTTAATAGCTGTTCTCTGTTGCCACTCAAGGTTATATCATGCTTACCACTAATTAATTTCTGTTAGAGAATATTAGTTTATTTGAAAATATACTGGTTTAGCTTCTAAAAATATCTTGACTAACATTAAGTTCATTGCCCTGTTTGCAGTTTGAGTGTGGCTTGAATCTCATTCCTGATTGTTTCTTCTACTTTATTAATATGTCTGCTTTATCTGATTGTGTGGGATTTTTTTTTTTTGGCGGAGAATGATGATGGTTTTTCTTAATATTTTTCCTGATAGCCGTCAAGTCCATTCAAATTTAATATTTATCATAAAGAAAATTGATTAATCGTGCATTGGATATACTTTGTCATAAAAGAATGGAATGTTATCATTTGCCCTAAAGCGGTGCCTCTGGAGGCCATAGAACACAGAACAGAACTGCTTAGTACATCCATGTGTGGAAACTCCCACGACTGATTCCTCAGACACTGGAAATGGCAGCAGAACCGTGCTGGCCGCTGGGTACTGATAAACAGATAACAGGAACACACAGTAGGACGACAGTCGTCAGCAGTAATTCACTGGGTACTGATAGACAACAGGAACACAGAGTAGGACGACAGTAGTCAGCAGTAATTCACTGGGTACTGATAGACAACAGGAACACACAGTAGGATGACAGTCAACAGTAACTCACTGGGTACTGATAGACAACAGGAACACATAGTAGGACGGCAGTCAGCAGTAACTCACTGGGTACTGATAGACAACAGGAACACATAGTAGGACGACAGTCAGCAGTAACTCACTGGGTACTGATAGACAACAGGAACACATAGTAGGACGACAGTCGTCAGCAGTAATTCACTGGGTACTGATAGACAACAGGAACACATAGTAGGACGGCAGTCGTCAGCAGTAATTCACTGGGTACTATTAACAGGAACACACAGTTGGATGACAGTCAGCAGTAATTCACTGGGTACTGATAGACAACAGGAACACATAGTAGGATGACAGTCAGCAGTAATTCACTGGGTACTGATAGACAACAGGAACACAGAGTAGGACGGCAGCAGTCAGCAGTAACTCACTGGGTACTGATAGACAACAGGAACACATAGTAGGACAACAGTAGTCAGCAGTAATTCACTGGGTACTGATAGACAACAGGAACACATAGTAGGACGGCAGAAGTCAGCAGTAATTCACTGGGTACTGATAGACAACAGGAACACATAGTAGGACGACAGTCAGCAGTAATTCACTGGGTACTGATAGACAACAGGAACACATAGTAGGACAACAGTCAACAGTAATTCACTGGGTACTGATAGACAACAGGAACACATAGTAGGACGACAGTAGTCAGCAGTAATTCACTGGGTACTGATAGACAACAGGAACACATAGTAGGACGGCAGCAGTCAGCAGTAATTCACTGGGTACTGATAGACAACAGGAACACATAGTAGGACGACAGTAGTCAGCAGTAATTCACTGGGTACTGATAGACAACAGGAACACACAGTAGGACGACAGTAGTCAGCAGTAATTCACTGGGTACTGATAGACAACAGGAACACATAGTAGGACGGCAGCAGTCAGCAGTAATTCACTGGGTACTGATAGACAACAGGAACACACAGTAGGATGACAGTCGTCAGCAGTAATTCACTGGGTACTGATAGACAACAGGAACACAGAGTAGGATGACAGTAGTCAGCAGTAATTCACTGGGTACTGATAGACAACAGGAACACATAGTAGGACGGCAGTCGTCAGCAGTAATTCACTGTGTACTGATAGACAACAGGAACACACAGTAGGATGACAGTCAACAGTAATTCACTGGGTACTGATAGACAACAGGAACACATAGTAGGACGACAGCAGTCAGCAGTAACTCACTGGGTACTGATAGACAACAGGAACACATAGTAGGACGACAGTCAGCAGTAACTCACTGGGTACTGATAGACAACAGGAACACATAGTAGGACGACAGTCGTCAGCAGTAATTCACTGGGTACTGATAGACAACAGGAACACATAGTAGGACGACAGTCAACAGTAATTCACTGGGTACTGATAGACAACAGGAACACACAGTTGGATGACAGTCAGCAGTAATTCACTGGGTACTGATAGACAACAGGAACACATAGTAGGATGACAGTCGTCAGCAGTAATTCACTGGGTACTGATAGACAACAGGAACACATGGTAGGATGACAGTAGTCAGCAGTAATTCACTGGGTACTGATAGACAACAGGAACACATAGTAGGATGACAGTCAGCAGTAATTCACTGGGTACTGATAGACAACAGGAACACATAGTAGGATGACAGTCGTCAGCAGTAACTCACTGGGTGCTGATAGACAACAGGAACACAGAGTAGGATGACAGTCAACAGTAATTCACTGGGTACTGATAGACAACAGGAACACATAGTAGGATGACAGTCAACAGTAATTCACTGGGTACTGATAGACAACAGGAACACACAGTAGGATGACAGTAGTCAGCAGTAATTCACTGGGTACTGATAGACAACAGGAACACATAGTAGGACGGCAGCAGTCAGCAGTAATTCACTGGGTACTGATAGACAACAGGAACACATAGTAGGACAACAGTAGTCAGCAGTAATTCACTGGGTACTGATAGACAACAGGAACACACAGTAGGACGACAGTAGTCAGCAGTAATTCACTGGGTACAGATAGACAACAGGAACACATAGTAGGACGGCAGCAGTCAGCAGTAATTCACTGGGTACTGATAGACAACAGGAACACACAGTAGGATGACAGTCAACAGTAATTCACTGGGTACTGATAGACAACAGGAACACAGAGTAGGATGACAGTCGTCAGCAGTAATTCACTGGGTACTGATAGACAACAGGAACACAGAGTAGGACGACAGTCAGCAGTAATTCACTGGGTACTGATAGACAACAGGAACACATAGTAGGACGACAGTAGTCAGCAGTAATTCACTGGGTACTGATAGACAACAGGAACACAGAGTAGGACGGCAGTCAACAGTAATTCACTGGGTACTGATAGACAACAGGAACACATAGTAGGACGACAGTCGTCAGCAGTAATTCACTGGGTACTGATAGACAACAGGAACACATAGTAGGATGACAGTCGTCAGCAGTAATTCACTGGGTACTGATAGACAACAGGAACACATAGTAGGATGACAGTCGTCAGCAGTAACTCACTGGGTACTGATAGACAACAGGAACACAGAGTAGGACGACAGTCAGCAGTAATTCACTGGGTACTGATAGACAACAGGAACACATAGTAGGACGACAGTCGTCAGCAGTAATTCACTGGGTACTGATAGACAACAGGAACACATAGTAGGATGACAGTCGTCAGCAGTAATTCACTGGGTACTGATAGACAACAGGAACACACAGTAGGATGACAGTCAACAATAATTCACTGGGTACTGATAGACAACAGGAACACATAGTAGGATGACAGCAGTCAGCAGTAATTCACTGGGTACTGATAGACAACAGGAACACACAGTAGGACGACAGTCAACAGTAATTCACTGGGTACTGATAGACAACAGGAACACAGAGTAGGATGACAGTAGTCAACAGTAATTCACTGGGTACTGATAGACAACAGGAACACACAGTAGGATGACAGTCGTCAGCAGTAATTCACTGGGTACTGATAGACAACAGGAACACACAGTAGGATGACAGTCGTCAGCAGTAATTCACTGGGTACTGATAGACAACAGGAACACATAGTAGGACAACAGTAGTCAGCAGTAATTCACTGGGTACTGATAGACAACAGGAACACACAGTAGGATGACAGTCGTCAGCAGTAATTCACTGGGTACTGATAGACAACAGGAACACATAGTAGGATGACAGTAGTCAGCAGTAATTCACTGGGTACTGATAGACAACAGGAACACAGAGTAGGACGACAGTCAGCAGTAATTCACTGGGTACTAATAGACAACAGGAACACATAGTAGGACGACAGTCGTCAGCAGTAATTCACTGGGTACTGATAGACAACAGGAACACAGAGTAGGACGGCAGTCAACAGTAATTCACTGGGTACTGATAGACAACAGGAACACACAGTAGGATGACAGTCAACAGTAATTCACTGGGTACTGATAGACAACAGGAACACACAGTAGGATGACAGTCAACAGTAATTCACTGGGTACTGATAGACAACAGGAACACATAGTAGGACGACAGTCAGCAGTAATTCACTGGGTACTGATAGACAACAGGAACACACAGTAGGACGGCAGTCGTCAGCAGTAATTCACTGGGTACTGATAGACAACAGGAACACAGAGTAGGATGACAGTAGTCAGCAGTAATTCACTGGGTACTGATAGACAACAGGAACACACAGTAGGACGACAGTCGTCAGCAGTAATTCACTGGGTACTGATAGACAACAGGAACACATAGTAGGATGACAGTAGTCAGCAGTAATTCACTGGGTACTGATAGACAACAGGAACACATAGTAGGATGACAGTCAGCAGTAATTCACTGGGTACTGATAGACAACAGGAACACACAGTAGGATGACAGTAGTCAGCAGTAATTCACTGGGTACTGATAGACAACAGGAACACAGAGTAGGATGACAGTCAGCAGTAATTCACTGGGTACTGATAGACAACAGGAACACAGAGTAGGATGACAGTCAACAGTAATTCACTGGGTACTGATAGACAACAGGAACACACAGTAGGATGACAGTAGTCAGCAGTAA